AAGTGGAGAGCAAATGTTTTGAGAATGATGAGGGCAACCATGTACAAGTGTGATCTATACAATGGGTGTATGTATGGATTGTGATAAGAGTTGTATGAGCCCCCCAATAAAATGATGAAAAAAAATGTTTTTAAGTATCCAGGCATATTGTTTTCATATACAGCAATGGCCAGCACACTTTCTGTAGATAGTAAATATTTCAGGCTTTGTGTACAAGGAGATCTTTGTTGCAACTATAAAACTCTGCCTTTGTAACTCAAAAGCAGTTGCAGACAGTACACAATTAGATGAGCAGGGTTGTGTTCCAATAAAGCAGTGAGGCAAACTTGGCATGCACAGTATAGTTTGCCAGCTTCTTGTCTAAAAGACTGATGTGTACACGGTGTAAGTTACACATTCTGTGTCTGTAAACGAGACTGCATTGTGCCTTGTTGACTGTGCTCTTAGCATTTTGCTTTCCCTCGCAGCACGTTTGGATGTAACCAAGCAGAAAGATCTCAGTGGATTTTATAGGCACCTGTTAAATCAAACAGTTGGTGAAGAGGAAGTACCTAAAAGCAGCTTCCGTGAAGCCAGGTGAGATGTGGCCTGTGGAATATTTAAAAGAAAGATACTGTTCAAAAACTATGGTTGTGGTCATTAACCCACTAAAATATGGAAGATTGCATCGTTGCGTGTTGTATTGTGAGCCAAACCTGACCTAATTCAGTGACTGGGTAGGGATTTATAAGCCAATTCTTGATCAAAAACCTTACATTTATTTTAAGGTTATTTTATCTTTGCAATTCACAAAAAAATGTTACAATTTGTATCTACATAATATCAATGGGGTTAGTGTTAGCCTGTGATCCTCAAGGTAAGCAGTTCAAACCCACTAGCCTTTCTCAGGAGAAGGATGGGGCTTTTAACTCCTAAAGAGTTAAGAGTCTTGGAAACCCATAGGGGCAGTTCTACCCTATCCTTTATGGTTTCTGTGAGTTGACATAGCTCAGTGGCAGTGAGTTGGTAGGTTTAGTTTTTAGAGTACCAGTGATTGAAGTGTAACATTACCAAAAAGACACACAACGTAAGCATAAAGTGCACAAATTTCTGAATATCAAAATGGTTTATAGTTCAGGCCTTGAAGGAACATAACTAGATTATAGTCTTTTTTTTTTTTTTAATCTGAAAGTATAGTATCCTTCATGGGTTTGATCCCTTAGTCTTAGAATTAAAGAGAAACTTGGAAAGAATTGAAGAGAAACTTGGAAAGAATTGAAGAGAAACTTGGAAAGAATTAAATGTACAATTTACTCTCCCATACATGTTCAAATAGTATATTAAAAAAAGGAAAGTGGTTTGTTTTCTTTTTAAAAATCTATGTTGCGATTTGGAGAGAGTTTACAGAGCAAATTGGTTTTCCATTCTATAACTCGTGCACATATTGACCTTTTAAATTGATTGCAATCCTCCTTTGTTTAGTATTTCATTCATCTTGTCCTTTCATGCCTTCTGAGGTTTATCCGTAGGCAAATGCTATCCTTCTAATCTCATATGGTTGGTTGTAAAGAAGTGTGCACTTCTCTGGTGTTGTTATTCTCCTATAGGCCTGTTTATTATTTGGCTGGAAATTGGCCACAGAATTGGTTTTGGCTTGAAGGGTGTCTAAGAGGGAGAGTGGTTTGCTTTCATAGAAAGCAAGGTACATCTCCCAAAGCTTCTGTTATCCAGTAGGGGAGCCTTTGGGCCCACGTGTCTATTTAAATCAGTTAAAGTTGAGCGAAATCTAAAATACTGGCCACATTTCAAGTACTTGGTTGCACATTTGTCTAGTGACTACCTACTATTTTGAGCAGTAGAGAGAAGGACATTTCCATTTCTACTAGACAGTTCTGGTCTAGAAAGTAGGGTGGATTTTTAAAATAAATTATAAGGTATTACATGAAGCAGCTTCAGAAAGTTCATGGAAAAATGAAATTTTTCATGAATTTTTTGAAGTCACCTCCTAGGAATAGTGAGATCATGATGCCATAAAGATGTAGTTAAAGGTAAAAGGGTGAGTTTGTCTGAAACTTGACTATAAGAGATTTTTTTTTTTAAGAAATATTTTGATTGCTGAGGAAAAGGGAGAAGTAGAGGAGTAGAATTAAGGATGAGGGGAGGAAACTAAATTATAAGAAAGTATGTTTGAAGATTCAGGTTGTGAATGGAAATTCTAATACATTATGGCTTTTCTACTAATGAGGTTAATCTGTCATATGTAGTTGTGCTTCTCAGAGTCTAATAATAGAATTCCTAACTATTAGTGATTCTTTATCCAAAGCACTTCCGCCAGAACTTCCTAGAGAATTATTGTGGTTAAAATTAGTGTGATCAGTAAATGATTAGTAAGATGGGACTTGTGGGGGACTTCAGTAAATTAACCATAGTTATTAGCTGGAAAAATGTGTCAACTAAAAGTTGATTTTAGTAGCTGAATGTGCTTAAGTCACATGTTTTCAATTTTTTGTAATAAGTATCAAAGAATGATGTCATGTTAATCTTGAGGAGGATTAGTAGAATTGGGTCTTGCTACCATTTCACTTTGAAAAAAAAATAACTGTGTTCCCAGGGCTACTAATATAATTTAAAAAGAAAGGGAAATCAAACAGATAACAAACCTAATGTGAAAATAGAATTTAGATCCAGAGCCATACCATTTTCCTACTTGTTCTTTATCCAAACTTAGCAAAAATGAAGATCTTGTACATTGTACAACCCTTTTCTGAAGCTTCTAGTCATTCAGTAGAGGAGTTATTTTCTCTATTTCAGTTTCACAAATATTGGTAATATTTTGAATGAAAAGTATTGGTTTTCAGATATTTAGACAATAATAGGCATAAATGTCTTTTCACATGCAGACTATCAAAGAATATATAATTATGGTGCTTTAAGTATTGAGAAAAAACATGAATGTTTTATTTGCTTTCTATAATTGATAATGTGACTTTGTGTTTGTGTGTGTGTGTTTGTTTTAAGATCTGAGATAAAGGAAGAGAAACCAAGAGGCTACTCAGATGAAATAAATTCAGAGAACAAAAGGCCACAAGAGAAATGCTTTCTTCAAACTGAAATAAAGACCGAGGACAACCCAGATGCAGACAGTGACTTTGATACTAAGAGCAGCGAGGATGAAGAAAGTGAAGAAAATAATAAAATTAACTTGAGAAGGGAAAAAGGCAGAGAGTTTTCTGAGAATGACCCCAAGCATCACAGGAATCAGACTCACTCACGGTCATCCAGTGAGGAACGAGGGCACAGTGTCAAACGCCACACACAAAGTTCCAAGTCAAGGGGACATGAGAACAGGGGAGATAAGCATCAAGAAAGGCAGTCTAGGGACCCCGAGAACTACGACACTGACCGTCATTACCGAAAAGACAAGACAGACTCCCACAGACACAGAGGAACCAGTCATCGAGAGTCTCACCGGAAGAGACATGAACAAGAAGATAAACCAAAGGGAAGAGACCCCAGAGAAAGAGATCGGAATGACAGAGAATGGAAAAGGGAGAGAGATGTGGAGAAATGTATCCCAAGAGAACAAGGAAGAGATAGACAACTGGATGACCTTGACCGACACGGTGAGAAAGGAGCGAAGGAAGCGAAAAGCGAGACAAGGGAAGAGCGTGTGAAAGGAAGCGTGGACAGGTGGGAGCACAGTGAGAAATGCAGAGCGAGGGGAAGACCAGAAGTTGGTGTTCAATCTGCAGAAAGAAATCGAGACGGAAGGGAAAAGAGCCCAACTTTGAGAGCAAAGGATAGGTCACTGGACCAGAGCAAATCCAACGCCATGGAAACGGACGAAGCGAGAAACCAGCAGACACCCTCCGCGGCTGAACCCTCACTGGGAGCGAAACTTCGAGTCTCAGAGGAAAGGCAAGAGGCGGACAAAGAGCAGGAGAGACCACCTGAGGCTGTGAGCAAGTTTGCAAAGCGGAACAGTGAGGAGACTGTAACGTCAGCTCGGGATAGGTACTTGGCCAGGCAAATGGCTCGGGTTAACGCAAAGACCTACATTGAGAAAGAGGAGGATTGATGGCTGCGCCCGTCGGTCTGTGGAAGCACAGAGAATGACCCGCGGACGTGCCGCGTGAGAGCCAGACGAGTATGAACCGTGGCCGGAAGGCATATTTCTAAGTATCACAATTCACTTTTGGTTTAGGTTTAAATCAAAAGTTGGTCCCTTTACCTTGACTGCGTAATTGACTATGTGTAATTAGTACTCACCAGATTGTTGTTTGTATCCCAGCTGCAAAAGTTTGTGAATTCCCAGTCAATACTTATTGATGACAATGGGCTCTGCCTTCAATGCTGATAGGCTTTATAATTTCAAATTAAAATACGTGGGTTTAAACAATAAAATAGAGCATATGTTTTGATTTATGTTCTGAAGTTTGTCTTAAAGTTAAAAATGTGCATCATCATCTTGTCTAAGTAACTTTTAGCTCCAGCATAGTGGACAAGACAATGGAGATGGAAGTACTGGAGGAAACTGTTAATTCCTTTCCCAGTAGTTCAGACTGACAAAGCAGCTTGGGTGCTTTATGGCTTAGTTTTTTTAACTTTTACCTGGTTTGGCGTATCTTAGGGGGAAAGAGTAAATTCTGTTTTCTTCCATCTCCTTCTGTACATATTTTCTGTAGGCAAGGTCTCTCTAATGCAACTCCCAACTCTATATTTAATCACCCACAAGCATGCCAGACTTGTTGAGCCGTGTGTGTGTGATTGGTGGGTAGCTATAGAGGGTTCTCTCACTGCTATCATGTCTTAGAGCCTATAGAACAGCGAAACCTGAACTGTGGGTTTCTGAAGCTGTCACCCTTCACAGGAGCAGAAAGCCTCCTCTTCCTCACAGCAGGTAGTGCGTTTAAACTGCTGACCTTGGGGTGCGCAGCCCAGCGGGTAACCCGCTGTACCACCAGGGCTCACATCAGTTCTTAATAACACACTGTTAAAAAGGTGGTGCCCCAAACAGGGTCCAGTCAAATCAGTAGCTTATGGAACCTACTGGGCCAGCTCAAGGCAGAGAACTCAGCAACTTTTTTTGGCTTCTCAAGGGGTAATCTTGATAGATACTCTCAGAGCACATTGAGAACCGTGGAGGCTCATTAGGAAGAAAACTTGAGAAAACAGAAAACTGCATCTGAGAAAAATACTAGCAGAGTTGCTTTGCTTCTCCTTTAATTAAGGGGTGCTGCCCAGGAATTTCCGTGGAAACCCCACTCCACCCATCCTCCAGCTGTGCTGTTATCTCTACTTTTTGTCCCCAGAACACAGGGACATGATTGGGTCCCTTAGGATCTCAAAATTACTGGTTGTGTGTAAACTGAAGCAAAGCAGAATCCTGGGAACGGCCCAGCCCGTGGGCTGCAATGTTGATGGCTGCCACCCCACATGGCATCCTGATGACGTCAACAATGGTGCTGCGGAATGCCCAGCTAGTGAAGAACTACAAGAGAAAATCATTTGACAACCCAAAAATAAAAAGCATGAAGTGACATAAAAGTTTACTCATGATACAGAGGTGAGAGAGGCCTAGATCTGGCAGCATTCTCTTTCTTGACAGGAATGGTGATGACTTGGTTAACTTTTGAAAACAATATGCTCTACATATTCTCTGTGTAATAAAAGGTGCCATGGATTAGACACTGGGCTGCTAGCTGATAGTTCGAATCCAATAGTCCTTCCATGGGATAAATGTAAGGCACTCTGTTTCCATAAAGATTTCCAACCACACGTCTATAAAGTCTACGAGTCAGTCAACTTGATGTCCTTGGGTTTGGGCATGCATAATGTCTCAAAATGCAAATGTTTGTAATGTTAACATTTTAAATGTAGGAATGGAAGGAACTGCCATCCTGGAGAGCCGATTCTACAAGAAGTAGCTACACTGACTTGGTGATTTAATGAAGGACTTGTGCGTAGGACAGCAGTTCACTGTGGATTATTTGGACCAGTGTGAATAAGAGATTCATTAGATTTGTTGCTAAATATGTGTTCTTTAGAAGAGGAAGTCCAAAGTAATATCCTGAACAGTTTTGTGAGTTGGTAAACATCTGTTCCTTTTACTCAATTTTCAATAAAATATGAATGACTCAGAATATCTTGATTTTGCATTCTCCTCCCCTTGTTGCCCTTACTCTGGTCAGATCTACTATGTGGTGCTATTTCATGCTAACCCTATCTTCTTACACACAGGCTGGTAGAATGCCACGTTCCCGTCTTACATTCTATTAGCCTTTACAAAGCCTGGCCTAGACCAAAGCCAAACCCCATGCCATCAAGTCGATTCCAACGTGGCCCATGCGGCAGAGCAAAGCCTACCGCTCTGGGTTGGGTTTCTGAGTCATGAGAGCAGAAAGCTTCATCCTCCTGCAGGTGGGTTTGAACAGCTAGCCTAGGAACACCTATTGGCTTCAGTTGTATCTTGTGCCTAATACTTGGATATGTAGGTGATTTGAGGGCAAGAATCTAATCTTGATTCAACTTTGTATCTCCAGTGTCTGCTATAGCGCTGGCCTAAATGTAACATGGAAACGTTTTTAGTTAGACTTAGTTGCACTGTATTAGGTTTATGTAGGAAATGCATCTCTGCATTTTGTGTCTACCTACTTTCAGAGAACCTTTTTACTCAAGTTCATTACACAGATCTCACACTGTCCTCTCACTCACCCAGTGCATTTTTTGAAATAATTTTATTGGGGGTTCTTGGACAGCTCTTATAGCAATCTGTATATCCGTTGTGTCAGGCACATTTGTACATGTTACCATCATCCTTTTCAAAACATTTTCTTTCTACTTGAACCCTTGATATCAGCTCCTCGTTTTTTTCCCTCCCTCTCCCACCCTCATGAACCCTTGATAAATTATAACCATCTGTTGTCTCCCTTCACTTATGTTTCTATTTGTCACCCCGGGTGGGGGGATGTTATTCGTCGATCATTGTGATCAGTTTCCCCTTCTTGCCCCACCTTCCCCCTACCTTCCTGGTATCGCTACTCATTATTGGCCCTGAGGGGTTTAGCTGTCTTAGATCCCCTGTGTCGAGAGCTCTTATCTGTACCTGTGTACATGCTCTGATCTAGCCAGATTTGTAACCCTCTCCCTGAGCTGTAGCGTCATTGCTGTTCTCTGTAGTGCAGTCTTCTGGGGAGGGGGTCCTTGTAGCAGGGATTGGGGCCAGCCTGCAGACCTTTCTGTTGGTTGCTTCTTGCTGGTATGTTGCCTTCGAGTCAGCCAGTGCATTTTTTAAATTTATGAAAACTATTTACCTATATACTCGTGTATGAGCTGAGTTTTTCAGCACGTTTTTTAACGCAGTTTTTGTGACAGGTGCCTCGGCTGATATTCGGGTCGGGTTTTACTCGAGCATATACGTATGCTTAAAAATATAGGTCGTCATTTTGAGATTTTCAGAGCAATGTTTTGCTGACATCCAAACCAGGCTGAAATTGCAAGGCAAATTCTTTGAGCTATCCAATATTGGCATCTAAACATTAGCAGCATTAGCATTTATTTTTAAATAGCAGTGATGTGGAAAAGCACCACCCAAGGCGACTACTGAACTTGGTAACGTCTAGATGGAAGAGACGCCTCTAAAAGCTGTAGCTCTGAGTTGTGACGCAGTAGCAGCACAGACAGCGGTCACTCTAAGGTGACCAGTGGGACAGTCCGATTTTTAACAATTTTTCCCACGTCCCGTGTCGTTTTTAAAAAGTCCCGATTTTTGGAAAGAATGCACAAGCTAGGGTATACGGTTTTCGGCTGCCATGTGGCTGTTTCGCCAAGATAGGAGTTTTATCAATGGTGTCACGCTTTACCAAATGTTAAAATCTGGTCACCTTACTCTAGGAGTGGGGAATCTTTTTCTGCCAAGGGCCATTTGGACTTCTATAACATCATTCGAAGGCCATGCTGGTCAAACATTTAATTAACCCCCGCCCCCCCACTGTGATGCCTGGAACTGCTGCTCTTTGGTGCCATTAGCTGATAGTGATGATTTCACTGGACTTATCTGGTCCTCAGGCTGGACGGTCTTCACCCCTCCCTGCTCTAGCAGGACATTTGAGCATAGTTGTGGGCCCCACGCTATTCCTTCCTCTTGCTGCCCACCTATTATTTACATTATTATTTTGCGAGGGGAATGCCCGGTCTATTCTGACACTTGGAGATGCCATGAGTTGCAGTCAACTCCACAGCAACTTTTTAAAAATCTTAATTTTTTTCTAGAGGACCCCTAGTGGCTTAGTCAATCACTCATTGGGCTGCTGTGGTAGTTACATAATCATTTGTCAATTTGAGAGTATTAATAGTGAAGGGGTGGAGTCTAGCCTGTCAATCAGGTCGGAGCCAATGAAGCCTCTGTGGGCATGGCCAGCTCCTGAGGATTCTGGGAACTCCCGCATTCCTCCTTGGAAGTGGGAGTCTCTTCCTTTACTCTCTCCTCACTCCGTGCAAGACATTTCTAATAAGAAGCCACATGAAGTTACCCTGTTGCACCCAGAGCTTTGGGAGCTTGAGAAGCCACGTGGAGAACCCTGCCAGCACTGAGATGCTTACAACGCCACTGGATCCACAAGACTTCCCACCCACTGCCTGTGATCTTCCTGCGTTCGGCGTTATTGTATGTGTTTAGTGAGTCTGAAGAGGACTTTATCGATTGGTGTCAGGACATATGGGCTAATACTGGCCTTATGGACTTGATCTGGACTGGAATGGGATGTTTTCTCAATATTTAATTGCTCTTGTATATAAAATTCTTTCCTATACACATATGGCTGTCTATGAATTTTTTCATTAGTCAACCCAGACTAACACAGCTGCTAACTGCAAGATCAGCCATTCAAATCCACCCGAGGGTAAAGACTTTTTGTTCCTGTAAAGATGTACAGCCTCAGAAACCCAAAAGGGGCAGTTCTACTCTATTCTATACAGCTATCTATAAGTGGAATTGACAGAAGTAGAGTTGGTTTTTGTTTTTGTCTTGGATTTTTTTGGTTTTAGTTTTGGTAGGGACCGAATACCTATCATAACCTGTACCATCAAGGACTGGATTTAATGTGCTGATACTCTCTGGAAAACTTTTATTAGCCAATCGTAGGGTACACATATAATGGTAAATGTACTATATAGGTTCTTGCC